TTACCACCTAAAGAGCAATGGTAAATATAATAGGTGTGAAATGCCTCCTGATCAGTTCTTTATCGGAAGAATGGTTTTCTCCTGACTCTAACTGCCACTGGGCTGAGTCCAGAGACCAGATTTTGAAAGAAAGAAGTAAAAATTAGGTTGCTTCTTTCTTTCTCTGTCTGGATTTTTAGTGAAAGAGGACAATTGTGGTAAAGTGATGAAGCTCCCCTACTTAATTGTTGCTTTGTCTATTAGTCCCCAATCTTAGCAACGGGAAAGTTTTAAATGTAACGAAATATGCACTGAGAACCTGAGCACATGGAGCAAATGTTCTGTTTCCCTTGAACCAGCACAGAGAAAGAGTCAAGGTTCATTGAAGAACTTTGGCTTCTACATCAGTGCCACGCCCACCAAGGTATTAGAAAGATTACATAGACAAGAAATGAGAACCTTTGGGGGAAGCAACTAGTTACAATACAGATGCAATTCTATGCCCCCAGTCTCAACCTATGTATAGGGAGCAGGCAGCCTAGAAATAATCACTTACTTCACAAAGTCAATAGGAAGTGCTGACTAAATGAGCAAAAGGTTACAGCCCTGGGATGGAAAAAAAAAAAAAAGCTTATGAATATGAAGACTTTAAGATCAAAGGCAAATGGAGAAGAACCACAGATCCTAGCAGTAGGTGTCAGTATGTCCTGCAAAATACAAACAAGACCTGTCCAGAGTCAGTGGACAGGTCTGGCCCCTCATAGCAGAAAATAGCTCAGATACAAAGGACGTTCACCAATGTGAGGTCCTTTTTAACCACAACAAAGGCACAGTAAGACCCCTGATATACACGGTTGCCATTTTGGGGAAGAGAAGGCGGGACACAATCTGAAAGAGACTCATGTACATAAAAGGAACTATTTAAACCAACACTGGTGGGGAGTTGAACTATGAATAGACGAACTATGTTAACAGGAAAAGACTGATACAGTTAACCAAAATATGTATCTTTAGAAGTGGCATGAGGTTCAGAAGAAATATCAGATCTGTTATGGGATAAATAGAAGCTACATTTTCCATATTGACCAAATATGAAATAAACTGAGAATGAAAATATATTAGGGATAAAATATGGAGAACAATCTAATATAGAGAATCTAATCTCATACTGAAGGTATTTTAGAAATGGACAATGATGAAAATGAAAGGCAGGAAATTTTAAAAAATAAGAATAAAAGTTAAAGAAAAATGTGGATCTTAAAAGTGTTTTTGCCAACCACACACACCCACAAAATTTATGTATTTAATTATTGTTGTGAAATTCAGCATGTCAGTGATATAGAAATTATTACAAGAGAATTTATAAACAAAAAGCAGATTATCCATAATATGAACAAAAGCATATGGGTCTCAGAATCCTTATCGGCAAGAATGTATGTTGGATGACAATGGAGCAAGGCACTACAAATCCTGAGAAAAGTTTTTTTCTACTAGAATTGAAAACTTTTACAAATTGTCAACAATATCTAAGCCAGAACAATGGCATTGCAAATTTCCAAAAATCAGAAATTTATTTCTGGCACATCTTTTCCTAGTAAATTAATTATATCTCTCAGAAAATTTTAAAAAGAGGAATAAGTCAATAAAAGGTTTTGAAATTCAATCAATAATAATTCTGAACCTGGAGATCATTGGAAGAAAATTCCAGGATAATAATCGAAGCAGGAAAACAGAGTTCACTGGAAGGGATGTCATGGGCATTTTTAAAAAGTCATGATATGCATCAGAACAATTATATAATTCATAACTAGAAAAAAGTAGTAAAGCAGATTAGAAGGAATTCAGTGAATTAATCATTTTAATAAATGTATTAAGTATTAATTGATACATAGTTAATGTTATATATCTAATATTTAATGAATAATGTAATTGAAACTGATATGATATTAATAAGGATAATCCACAAAACTAAAGGTTAAAATATAAAGCAAATTAAAATGTTGCATTATTTGGAGGAATGAATGGCATCTATGTTAGTCCAGGTAGCCAGAGAAGTGGATTCCATGACAACATTAAACCTGTATTTTATTAGGATGAATGATTGTAAGAGGAAATGAGGAGGACGCTGGGATGACTGGAAGAGCATTCAGAGGGGAATGCAAGTCTGACTCTGAGTGAAGAAGAGGGAAGTAAGACTGGTGGGAGCATCTTTGCCTGCTGAACAGTAGAAGAAAGATACAAGTGTTCTAAGAAGACCTTGAGCCAAAGCAGTGATCAGAAGAGTCTCATGTGTCCCAGAAATGAGCCTACCTTAGTGAGCATCCCACACTCAGTCATTACCCAAGAGCAGCCCCTGCAAGCCTGGCACCATAGCTGGAATCCTTGGTTAATAATATATTCCCTACAGTTGAAGGTTTACAAGGGTCATTCTCATGGTTACCATAGCATGGAAGAAAAACAATTTGGTCCTAAGAATATTCAATGTTGACCGGTCTAGTGATGAAGACATGGTAGTCAAAGAAGAACATGTAATCCAAGCACACCTCTTGGCTTTGCAGTAGAAAATCTCATGTAGTCATAATCAACTTAATCCTCTTCAATTGCTTTAACATATAAAAACAAACCACACAGATTTAAAAAGTTAGTATGTTACAGAATAGCTGTTTTCTTACAAATGTAAAAATAATACTACAGATATCAGAAATAGCATGGCAGAAGAGGAGCAAAGAAGGAAATGAGGAATAGGACAATTACAGTCTCATCTAACAAATGAGATGTCAAGAGATCATTTCTGTTGTAGACATAGAAAGATATGTGGCTTAAATGTTTTACTTACTTTAATAATTTAACAAACAGAAAAATCACACTGCATGATAAAGAATGTTTTAGTAAGAAAGAAAAAGTGTAGAGTGGGTGATATAAATAAAATCTTAATCGACTAGAGAGATAAATAGTGATTTAAGAATATTATTAGTGTTATGGCTGTATTTACCATAACTGAAAACAAAAATAATTATTTTAAATTTATTACCTCTGTCGAGTAAGCCTGGAGGTTGGGAAGGTTCAGTTTAGAATATTTTTGCTCTTGATTATATAACTTCCTATATAATAGATCTACCTATAAGAATATGATTTTTTTTTAAGTTAAGGAAGAAAATAATAATTTTGTCATCCGGACATAACTATATTTTATACTTAGTGTTGAATTTTTGTATGTCAAAATTACATAATTGGCCTTCTAAAGTAGATATTGTTTTACAAACTGAATTTGCAAACTGAATTATTAAACATATTTAAACTCTAACATGGTATCTTCATTTCCATTAACACTTACAACTACATACTGTAATAAAACCCCTTACATGTCATTTTTAATTGTAATTGTCTCTTTGTGATGAATTCTAAGAAGTATTATTATATTAAAATCATAGGCATTTTAAGAGACATTTTTCCTCCAAATGTGTGCATCATGTATTTCCTCCATTCTCAATTATGATATATCAGAGTACCTGATTCCCACTTGTTACTAGATTTTTTTGGTCTTTTCCAATGGGTTTCTTATTGTTATTTTTATTGCATTCCCTTTTCTTTGATAATTAGTAAAGTTCCATATCTTTCATAGGTTTATTGGCTGTATTTTATGTTTTGAGTATTGTTGGATATATATATATATACACACACACACACAATGTATATATACATATATGTATGTACATATGTAGAGTGAGATATATCTATATCTATATAGATATAAAACCTATTTTTCTATTACAATGCCCCTTTCAATTAGTTTTAACATGTATACAATTATAAGTGCCCAAATCTTAAGCTTTCCATTTGTATTTCCTTCATTTCTTCTGTCCCTTGAAAGACAGTCTCTACTCAGTGTATCTGCATGCTAAGTTGTCTGTATCTTATAGGTGTGTTTTGTCATTAAAGGCAAGTCATCGCCTTGTTCCATGCTCAGACCAACACGGTGCTGCTATGTCTCACAAATCCCATGTATGAGTCTGCCAGAACATTCTCTCTCCCATAACAACACCGAAGATAGCTCCTTGGGACTCTCTGTGTGCTTCCTGTGAAATAAGCTTAGAACTATCAAGCTGAAGGTATTATTATTCTAAACACGCTAATCAAAATTTCATAACTGGTTTCTAAAATGTTAGCCATATATTTTTCTTTTCTTTTCTTTTCTTCTTTTCTTTCTTTCTTTCTTTTTTTTTTTTTTCTTAGAGTCTTGCCCTGTCGCCCAGGCTGCAGTGCAGTGGCGCGATCTCGGCTCACTCTGCAACCTCCGCTTCTCAGGTTCAAGTTATTCTCCTGCCTCCAGGCCCCCACTGAGATTACAGGCACCTGCCACCATGCCCAGCTAACTTTTTTGTATTTTTAGTAGAGACGGGATTTCACCAGGTTGGCCAGGCTAGTCCGGAACTCCTGACCTCAGGTGATTCACCCGCCTCGGCCTCCCAAAGTGCTGAGATTACAGGCGTGAGCCACCATGCCCGGCCAATATATCTTTTCCTATCTCCTTTTGCAAGCATCTCCTACCTTCAAAAATCATGTGCTTTACACTGTGGATATTGTCCATAATGGTAATATATTCTGTTTTCTTTGGTGTTCAAGGTCACTTGAATTCATTAGGAATCTTTTTCCTAATATGGATTTTGAATCTTTAAAAATGCAGGAATAATGTGATTTAAAATAAAATATTAAAAGGGAAAACTATTGGTGAGAAAAGTCACAAAGTACTGAGTACTGAGAGCAGATAGAAAATAGTTTGTATGAAAACTATCTGTACATTTAGGAAGATAGCTGCCCTGAACTTTTTCTTAGCAAGAAGTTAAAAACAATCATATTTAATCTTTCTGATGAAAATGGTAATTTGGTTGCTTACATCTGACAAATTCAAGAGTATATTCAAGCATAATGGATTTAGCCTTCCCTTTTTATCTGGAAGAGAACAAAAATTGTGATACAGCCTAAGATTCAGGGGAAATATAAATCCTCCTTTCTTCCACTTACCTTTATTTATTTTGAGAAAGGAAGATCCCCTTCTCAGCAGCCCTGTGTGCCTCTAAGGAAAGAAAATGTATAAGGTCATTTTATTTTAATGATTAGCAATGCATATCAAGCACCAATATTTATATGCCATGGAGACAGAGTTTTTAGAAAACAAACATGGAAGATCATCACATCATCTCAGATGTGTAGAGACAATAAACGTTGTTAGAAATATTCTTGCCCTATTGTATAGGTAATGCTAAGAGAAATAGGAATTTTATTTTTTCTAGGAAATGGTTTTCTAACAAGTGAGAATGTCTACAGTGGTTATTGTGTACATGGTGAATTGCAGGAGAAGAAGTTTTTAAAGTGTGGCGACTTTACAGAAACACTTACGTACCTGGGTTGAATACTCACTTACACTATGAACAGTGCAGCAAAGGCTCTGGGTGTTAATATATGACAGTGCAGCAGCATCGTTTGGGGAAAAGCAGAAATGTTACTCGTAAAGGAGAAGTTTATTTGGCCTGGCTTAAGGCAAGATGATGATGTAAACTAATGAGAATGACCAGTGTTGTGATCTTTTAATACCACTCTATCTGTATACTGGAGCAAGTTACAAAACATCTCAGAACATTCTCAACATTATATTCCTGATCTTTAGAAAAGAAGTAGTACTACCTGATATTAATAGTACTTATCTTGTAGTTCGCTGTTAGCCTTAGAAGTAATACATGAAGTCATTTGTTCGTTACAAAAGCCAAATCTAAAAATAGCATTAGTTTCTAATGGGATCATTATAATTATTATTGTTCATTTTGGATTTGTATACAGTCTTGTATATTTCATAAATTATGTCATTAACTTCTGTCACTTTACACATGGCAAATGTATGATGTTTCCTCATTTTCAAAAAAGTCATTTTAGTTGTGTCTTTTTTCTGTTTCATTTTCTTTTAAAGAAAAAAGTAATGTTACACTGATTCATTTTAATTCTCTGTGAAACATTATCTGAAATTGCCTTTTCAGTGAAGGTTCAGTCTGTACTTTTATTTCCGGTATTACACTTAAGCAAGGAATACGCTTTTCCTAAAATCATCGTGCTTCTAGAAATTTGATCCTAAGCAATCTTCTGGAAAAAAAAAATCCTAAGTAAAAACATACTATTTTAAAAATCAAGAGATGTGCCAATACTCAGAGAGGCTGAAATACTAAGTGAAATTCATACCCTCTGGCCAGATTTTTTTTTAATACATCATTATCTCTGTAAATTCTTTTTAGACGAGAGAGAGAGACAAGAGAGAGACCCTTGAGAAAGTTCTGATTCTTTCATGTTTTATCTTGGATGCCACTAGTCCCCTTTCTGGAAGGGTGCTAGACCTCGTTGATGAAGATGCTGTAAAATAGTGCTGATTGTGGGTGCTGCTACCAATGCCTTCTGCTGCCCTGGCTGAACTTGGCTGAGCTATGCCAGCCTCAGGAGCAGCAGGTACATTTCTCTCAAGCCTATGATCATAGACTTCTTATAACCTGCAATGACCAGAGATGCTCAGTTTGCCTGGCCTTACTTTGTTTTGCTCGCCCAAGAAAGAAGGAGTATTATGAAGAATCGAGGTCAAAAAAAGGACCAATGTGCTCCACTGCATTTATATACTGACACCCATTCACTCACGTACATTGGTTCCATCCTTCCTGTCCATTGTTCTGAAGAATAAAAACCATATCTCTGTACCTAATATAAAAAAAATACTAAGAGTAAAGAATTAATGAGTGCCTACAATGTATCTGACACTTAAGTATTTTACAGCCAGGCACAGTAACTCACTTATGCAGTCCCAACACTTGGGAGGCTGAGGTGAGTGAATCACATGAGCCCAGGAGTTCAAAACCAGCCTGAGCAAAGTGGTGAATCCCTGTCTCTAAAGAGGAAAAAGAAACAAACAAGCAAACAAACAAATAAAAATAGCTGAGCACGGTGGCATGCACCTGTGGTCTCAACTACTCCAGAGGCTGAGATGGAAGAACCCTTTGACCCCAGTAAGTCAAGTCACTGTGGGATGAGCCCTATTCGAGTCACTTCACTCTAGCCTGCGTGACAGAGTGAGACCCTGTCTCAATATAAAAAATAAAAATAAAAAATTTAAAAAAGGATTTTACATGTATACTTCCTGTAATTCTCACAACAACCTTGCGATGGAAGTATCACTGTTGTTCCCATATTACAGATGAGAAAAATAAGTAGCTTATTTAACACCAAATAACTATTAAAGTGATTTTTACATAATAGGTATATAAAAATAAGGGATTTGTTATACACTTGTAGGAAATGCCTAGGTTTGCAAGGTTCATGCTGATGGCATGATAAATTCTATATACTTTTGACATGGTTTGGCTGTGTCCCCACCCAAATCTCAAATTGTAACTCCCATAATTCCCACATGTCATGGGAGGGACCCAGTGAAAGATTATTGAATCATGAGAATGGGTATTTCCCATGCTGTTCTCATGATAGTGAATAAGTCTAATGAGATCTGATGGTTTCATAAAGAGGAGTTTTCCTGCACATTCTCTCTGTCTTGCCTGCTGCCATGTAAGATGTGACTTTTGCTTTCTGCCATGATTGTGAGGCCTCCCCATCCATGTGGAACTGTAAGTCCATTAAGCCTCTTTCTGTTTATAAATTACGCAGTCTCGGGTATGTCTTTATTAGCAGTGTGAGAACAGACTAACGCCGTAAATTGGTACCAGGAGTAGGGCATTGCTGTAACAGTACCCAAAAATGTGGAATCGACTTTGGAACTGGGTAACAGGCAGAGGTTGGAACTGTTTGGAGGGCTTGGAAGAAGATAGGCAAGTGTAGGAATGTTCGGAACTTCCTAGAGACTTGGAGGGCTCAGAAGGCAGGAAGATGTGGGAAAGTTTGGATCTTCCTAGAGACTTGTTGAATGACTTTGACCAAAATGCTGATAGTGATATGAACAATAAGGTCCAGGCTGAGGTGGTTTCAGATGCAGATGAGGAACTTGTTGGGAATTGGAGTAAAAGTCACTCTTGCTATGTAAAGAGACTAGCAGCATTTTGTCCCTGCCCTAGAGATTTGTGGAACTTTGAAAGTGAGAGAGATGAGTTAGAGGAAGAAATTTCTAAGCGACAAAGCATTCAAAAGGAAGCAGAGCATAAAAGTTTGGAAAATTTGCAGCCTGACGATGGAATAGAAAATAAAAACTCATTTTCTGGGGAGAAATTCAAGCTGGCTTCAGAAATTTGCATAAGTAACAAGGAGATGGATGTTAATCACTAAGACAATGGGGAAAATGTCTCCACAGCATGTTAGAGACTTTCACGGCAACCCCTCCCATCTCAGGACTAGAGCCCTAGGAGGGAAAAATCATTCAGCAGGCTGAATCCAGGGACGCCCTGCTGTGTGCAGCATCCCAGGTGCTCCAGCCTGGGCTAAAAGGGACAAAAGTACAGCTTGAGCCATTGCTTTAGAGAGCACAAGCCCCAAGCCTTGGCAGCTTCCACGTGGTGTTGAGCCTGCCAGTGTGCAAAAGTCAAGAATTGAGGTTTAGGAACCTCAGAGGTGTGCTGCGGGGATGGAATCCTCATGAAGAAGCTCTGCTGTGGCAGTACGGAAGGGAAATGTGGGGTCAGAGCCCCACAGAGTCCCTACTGGGGCACTGCATAGTGGAACAGCGAGAAGTGGGCCACTGTCCTCCAGACCCCAGAATGGTAGATCCACCGACAGTTTCCACTGTGCACCTGGAAAAGCTGAAGACACTCAGTGCCGGCTTGTGAAAGCAGCCAGGAGGGAGGTTGTACACTGCAAAGACACAGGGATGGAGCTGCCCAAGCCTCTGGGAACCCACATCTTGCATCAGCATGACCTGGACTTGAGACATGGAGTAAAAGGAGATCATTTTGGAGCTTTAAGATTTAACTGCCCCACCATATTTCGGACTTTAGCCCCTTCATTTTGGCCAGTTTCTCCAATTTGGAATGGGTGTTTTTATCCAATGCCTGTTCCCCCATTGCATCTAGGAAGTAATAACTTGCTTTTGATTTTATAGGCCTATAGGTAGAAAGGACTTGCCTTGTCTCAGATGAGACTTTGGACTGTGGACTTTTGAGTTAATGCTGAAATGAGTTAATATTTTGGGAGACTGTTGGGAAAGCATGATTGGTTTTGAAATGTGAGGCCATGAGATTGGAGAGGGGCCAGAGAAAAATATGGTTTGGCTGTGTCCCCACCTGAATCTCAAATTGTAGCTTCCATAATTCCCACGTGTCATAGGAGAGACTTGATGGGAGGTAATTGAATCAGAGTGCGGTTCTTTCTCATGCTGTTCTTGTGAGAGTTAATAAGTCTCAGGAGATCTGATGGTTTTATAAAAGGGAGTTCCCCTGCGTTTGCGCTGTCTCTTGCCTGCTGCCAAGTGTGAGAGGTGCCTTTTATCTTCCACCAAGACTGTGATGGCCTGCCCCGCCACGTGGAACTGTGAGTCCATTAAACCTCTTTTTCTTTATAAATTACCCTGGCCTAGGTATGTCTTGATTAGCAGCGTGAGAAAATGCAAATATAATTTTAATCCCCAAAATGACTCCTGTAATAGTATATCGAAGTGCGTGTTCATTTTTGATGACAAAGAACAATATGCTAAATAAACCAAAAATTGTTTAATTTCCTTCCCTGTCAGGATGGTGCATTTCAAATTCTGATAGGCATTCTATTCCAATTTATTAAATTGGAATCTTGTTAAAATACAGATTCTACGTCAGCTGTTCTGCTGTAGTTCCTGAGATTATGCATTTCTGATAATCTCACAGATGATGCTGCTCTGCAGACTACAAGCCTTAGTATATCTTTGGGTACAACTTTAATACTTGGTTCTATATTTCCATGAAATCCTTGTGCTATAATATGAAAATATATTTAGTTATTGCATAAGCCCATTAGCATTTAATAGGGCTACATCGTTCACAAAAAATTATAATTATAACCCCAGTTGGCTATCTCATGTATTCACAACATCTACTTTTTAATTAAATTATGAGACCAAAAATGGAGCAAAGC